TGTCACCATGCTCCAGGCCCCTGCCCAGCCTGCCCTCCTCCCCCAGTGCCACTCTGTGCTGCTCACTGCCAGCTCGCCACATCTCCTCCCTTCCAGCCACAGTTCAGCTGGTGTCAAGGTCTCAAACTGCTCTTGAGAGAACGCTCAGGATGGCAGAAAGCCACGTCCTGGCACAGCCACACGGCCACCACCTGCTTTTTGGGCTCTAAAGCTTTTTCTGGTCTGTCCACCAGCACTCCCAGCGCTCTGGCAGCTGTGCCTGGCATTACATCAGCAATGGCACCAAATGCCTGCAGATGCAGAGCCCATTGGGGAAAAAAAGGGGCATTTTGGCCAATGAGCACTGAAGGCTCCATCTCCTCGTGCTGCTCTGGCTGTCACTGTGCTCAGAGCTGGGCTGGTTTTGCTGAACACGGTTTGGGGAGTTTAATACCGTGGCAGCACAATGGGCTGGCAGCAGGGAACAAGTTCACAGGGAGCCTGGACAAAGCCCTGGAGGACACGCTTTCTGTGGCCTCTGCTGTGCAGAGAACCCTCTGAGCTGCAGAGAGCAGCTGCTGCGGGACCCCCAGCAGCAATGCCACCTCCTGGCCCTGTGCTCGCTCTTCCCTGGGCACCTGCTCAGCCAGGGCTCATGCCAGGAGCCATGGTTTGACCCAGCACAGACACTGTCATCTCCAGCAGCTCAGAGACCCACACACCCCTCACACCCCGAGGCTTTGCCAAGAAGGCCACCAGCACCCTGGCTTGGGTCAGCACTGGTGTGGCCAGGACTAGGGAAGTGATTGTACCTCTGTACTGGGCACTGGGGAGGCCATACCTTGAATCCTGGGGTCAGTTTTGGGCCCCTCCCTCCCAGAAGGCCCTTGAGGGGCTGGAGCGTGGGCAGAGAAGGGCAACGGAGCTGCTGGGGAAGGGTCTAGAGCCCAAGTGTGGGGAGGAGCAGCTGAGGGAGCTGGGGGTGCTGAGCCTGGAGCAAAGGAGGCTCAGGGGAGACCTTCTGGCTCTGCACAGCTCCAAGGATCAAGGGTCTAGACCCCAAGGGGCCTCAAGTTGCCCCAGGGATGTTTAGGTTGGATTTTTGGGAACAGTTTGTTCCCCTGGAGGGCTGTGGAGGCCTGTGCCAGGCTGCCCAGGGCAGTGGTGGAGTCCCCACCCCTGGAGGGGTTTCCAAGCCGTGGAGATGTGGGGTGAGGGACACGGGGCAGTGGGGACCTGGCAGTGCTGGGGAACAGTTGATGAGCTTAAAGGTCTCTTCCAACCAAAAGGATTCCACGACTGTCTGATTCTATTTCTGCTCCTCACCAGGGAATGGCCAAGAGCTGACACAAGGACATCTATGCTGCACTGAGCCCTGTTACTGTGCCCAGACTGTTACAGAACATGGTCTAGCACCAGTGGAGCTTCTCTTAGGGCTGTTCTGACCGCCCTGCACACAGGTACAACAGTGTTGAGCACAGAGTGATTTCAGGAGATAAAACTGGGAAACTGGTTCATCCTTCTTCAACTTCCTGATCTGCAAACAGTGGACTGGCCCTGTGGCTGCCAAGCCAGAGGAGACACTGACTTCCAGACCAGGCTGGATGGGGCTTCGGGGATGGGGCTCTGAGCACCCTGCTCTAATGGGAGGTGTCCCTGCCCATGGCAGCGGCTTGGAAGGAGATGATCTTTAAGGTCCTTTCCAGCCCAAACCATCCTGTGGTTCTACACCAGCACTCACTGGCTGGTGCAAATCCTCGGGGTCCCCCGTGAACAGCCAGAGGTGTGGCAGCCCCGTTGTGCCTTCAGGGGCCTCCAGTCCCTGCTGTGAGCTTCTGCTAAAGCATTCCTAGCAAAGTATTTCCAGTGAAGGAAGGGTGAAGGGACAGCTCGGCAAGGTGAACGCATTCAGGCATGGCTGTTAGGTTTTATCTCACCCAGCTGCTTCCACAGTGATTTATTTTATTGACTCTATTCCCCACTTGTAATTTTTCTCTGCTGTTAGGATCTCCCCTCCATTATTTTTCTTAAATGAGGAGCAGAGAACTATGGAAAACGATCTCAGAAGCACTGCCAAGGTCAATGGCCAGCCAGACATCTCAACAGGACCTCGACAGCAGGGAGCCAGCAGGAACTCCATAAATCTCATCAGGGACAGGTACAAAGTCCCACTCTGAAAAAGAAGAACTCCTTGGAACTGGACGGGTTGGGGACTGGCTGCCTGGGAAGCAGCTCTGAGGAAGGGGATGTGGAAGGCTTGGTAGGCAGCGAGGTGAACGTGGGCTGGCCCTGAGCCTCAGCAGCAAAGGCCAACAGCATCCTGGGCTGCCTGAACAGGAGCAAAGGCACAAACAGAGCAGCGTTATCCCTCTTGCTCCCACTCATGAGACCACCCCTACAACACTGCAGCCAGATCTGGGGCCCCCAGCACCAGAAATACATCAACAAACTGAAGGTAGTTCAGTGGGGAGCCACCAAGATGGTCAGGGCTGGAGCTCTTGCTCTGTCTGGAGAGGCTGAGGGAGCTGGGCTGGTTCAGCCTGCAGAAGGAATGGCCTGGAGAGCCCTAACAGCAGCCTGCTGGTGCCTACGGGAGGTTATCAAGTAGCTAAAGGCAGGATTTTCAGAGTGGTACACGGTGGGAAGACAAGGGGCCATGGTGGGAGGGACAAGAGGCAATGGGCAAAACTGGCAGGAGAAACTTTACGGTGAGGACAGTGAAGCAGCAGAACAGGCTGCCCAGAAAGGGTGCCTGGACTCCAACCTTTTGAAGCCCAGACTGGACAGAATCCTGAGCAACACAACCTGATGTCACAGCTGACCCTGCTTTGAGCTGGAGTTGGACCAGAGGCCTCCTCCTTCTGACCTGAGTCACCCTCTGACCCTGCCCCTGAAGAACAGTGGCTCCACCCCAGGGCTGGTTCCCGAGCTGCAGCCCTGCTCCCTGGAACAGTGGGAACAAAGCCTGTTCCCTGGGAAAACTGTCCTCTGCTCCTGCTCCCCAGAAAGAGGATCCACTCCCAGGAGAGAGCACTGATGGAGAGCTGGGAAGAAAGCAAATTCTTGGCAGGTTCTTGCCTCACTACCTGCAAAGTCACCCTTCTGAGGTTGCTCCTCTGCTCCCTCCACGTGCCTGCCACCCGAGCCCTGCCTAACAACACCCCCATTTACTCACCTGCCCTGTGCCCCTCTGGGCAGCCTGCTCACCCCCTGTGTGCCAGCCACAGGGCTCCACACTCCCCTTCCCACCTCTCCTCCAGCCTGGCAGACCAAGGGCCCGCTTACCCTGGCAGTGCCCGGTAACAGCTGCCCGAGGCAGCCCAGAGGAGCACAGTGATTGTGAAGCTGCTTCACCCCTCGCAGAGACTCTGCAGCTCCCAGCAGTGTGCTGATGGAGAGCTCTGTGGGGGACCCGTGGTGGACTCTCCTCCTCAGGCACGTTTCTCACCCTCAGGAGCCCTGCTGCCCGCCAGCCCCCTGCACAGAGCCACCTCCTCCTCCCTCTCCCAGAGCCCCGGCTCGCAGGGTAACTCGGTGCCCGTCCCGGCTGCTCTCCTGCTTTCCCTTGGGACAATGTCACTTTTCTTCCTAGCAGCTGCTTCAGTGCTGTGC